TAGATCAGTCAAACAAAATTTGTTATAGAAAAAATATAACAAACAAAATAGGTATATTTTTTATTTGTTAATCACAATTTTTTTTTTTTAATTTTCTAATTTCTAATATTATTTTATTATGAATCATGAAAAAATACCTGCATATTTTTTATTTGTCATACAATATTTTTTAAGGAAAAGAAAAAAAAGCATACACGAAAACTAACTTCAAACTGCGGACAAAATGAATGAAAGAACACGAAGATTAATTAATATATTAATAATAATAATAATATAATTAAGTATAATTAATAATAATAATAATAATAGTTAATTAAAACTTCGAGTCAAATTTGACTCGGAGTGATGGTTAATTTCAAAGTTTGATTGTATAAATTATAAAATATTAATTATACAGAATATTAATGGTAAAAAAAATTGTGAATTTAGAGGAAAGATTTAATTTTCTTTTCGGGCGTTTGTTGTGTGTGTATTAAAAGGAAAGTGAAAATATGAACGAGGTTGGTACATATAAACTTGTTGGAGAACGATCGTCGATTTAATATTTATAAACGAGCGTTAGTATACTATATAGGGTCCAGACTCGCGTATTCTCGAATGCTCGACCCTTGTTGCGACGCCCGGTCGCGGTCCACTTCAACCTCGAATTCTCCAACCCCGAAATCTCATCGGCCCAAATGGCGCATCAACATCTATTATTAACCGACTCCGGAATATTAACGATACAGTTACCGTATTCCAGAAGCTAAATTAGCGGAGATTATTACGAGTGGCCCTCTCACTCTAGACCATCTCTCTCAATTTATTCCTTCAATTTTTTTAACAGTGGCAATTTTTTTTCAAATTTCAAAATTCATATTTCAAAATTCAAATTTCAAAATTCAATTTTCAAAATTCAAATTTTGAAATTTGAATTCAAAAATTCAATTCTTCAAAATTCCCTTACGAAATTTAAATTTACAAGTCGATATTTAAAAATCACTGTAAAAAAAAATGAATGGGAAACTTAAATCTATTTATAGAAAGATTTTCTGCTATATTCTCAAGGGATATCAGTAATATTTTTTTTTCTTTTTTGGATATTCTAAATCTGTACCCTTATTATGAAATTTAGAGGGAATGGGAAAAAAACTGATATCGAGGGGTTGAAGGTGTCGGTGGTACATCACGCTTATGGATCGCCGGAGGTGGCACTTGGTCCTTGCCGACCTTATGCCATAAAGTCTCACCTCTCACTCGCTTTACGTCCTTTAAACTGACATCTCCATATATTTTCAGATTCGTATCGCGAAATTGGCCCTTCGGGACTGTCTACTGGGGAAAAAAAAAAAATTCAGGAGAAAAAACTAAAAACAGAAGAACAGAGTTGAGTCCGATACAGAGACTGTTAAGGGATGAGAGAGGAAAGTCTCTCATTCCTCCCCTCCCCCTCCCTTCTCTACCCTTCAAAACCAATAAAACTGCAGGGGGATTAAACTCATTCGATAAAAAGACACTTCGTGGCTATCGTTGTGTACTACAATCTAAGTTTTTTTTATACGAGCACGTATCGTTAAATCTGGTAATTCCGCCTTCGAACACGCAGGACTACATTTTTACAGGAGAAAAAAAAAATTTTTTTCTTCATTTAATTCTATGGGATAAAGAATTTATATTTTGAAAATAAATTGATCTTTTTCGAACTGTCATATATTTAGAGTACAATTTTCTTGGATGTATTTTAATCCCAACAAAAATATCTTTGATGCAAAATGTTACAACAAGTACCCAATGTATTTGCCCGCTGAATTCGAATCCGAAGTCAGAATTGTCAAATTCATTCTTTTTTTTGAGTTATAAAAACGACTCAAAAATACGAATTAGAACCAACAAAAATAAAAAAAAAATGTCATGACACTACACTAGTATATTTATATCTATTTCGTCACGCTGAATCCGAATCCGAAGTAAAAAATTGACAGATTTGCTCAAAATTTTGAGATACACTCAAAAAACGGCTCAAAAAACCGAATTAAATTCAAAAAAATAAATATTTTTTTGTGTGACACTACACTAGAATATTTTCATGTATTTTTTCACGCTGATTTCGAATTTAAAGTCCGAATTTACAGATTTGAACAAAATTTTGAGATAAACTCAAAAACGGCTCAAAAAACCGAATTGAAAAAAAAAATAAATATTTTTTTGCATGACACTACACTAAAAAATTTTCATGTATTTTTTCACGCAGAATACGAATTTAAAGTCAGAATTGACTGATTTGCTCAAAATTTTGAGATAAACTCAAAAAAACGGCTCAAAAAACCGAATTAAATTTTAAAAAATAAATATTTTTTTGTACGACACTACAATAGTATATTTTCATGTATTTTCTCACACAGAATCCGAATTGTATATCAAAATTGACAGATTTACTCAAAATATTGAGATAAACTCAAAAAACGACTCACAACCGAATTAAATTCAAAAAAATAAATAGTTTTTTGTATGACACTACAGTATTATATTTCCATGTATTTTTTCACGCTGATTCTGAATTTGAAGTCAGAATTGACAGATTGACTCAAAATTTTGAGATAAACATAAAATACGACTCAAAAAATTTTGATTTTCTCAAAATTTTAAGATAAACTCAAAAAACGGCTCAAAAAGCCAAATTAAATTCAGAAAAATAAATAGTTTTTTGTATGACACTACACTATTATATTTCCATGTATTTTTTCACGCTGAATCCGAATTTGAATTCAGAACTAACAGATTTGATCAAAATTTTGAGATAAACTCAAAAGAACGACTCAAAAAACTCAAAAAAATTGATAAAAAGAGCGATTTAAAATAAAATAAATAGAAATTTTTTTCTGTCACTACACTAGAATATTCTCTTATATTTTTTCACTTGGATCTCAAAATTTCAAGTCAGAATCATCAAAATGGCTCAAAATTTTGAGATATTCAAGAAAATCTGCCAAGAAAAACAAATTAAAGTTAAGAGACTCAACTCTTTTTTTAAACATTAGTGTTTTTACAAAAAATAAAACATTCGAACCTATAAGCAGTTTTGATTGAACTTAAAATTTTGAGCCACTTTGAGAATCTGTTTTCTAAATCACAGTGAAAAACTACACGCGAATATACAAGTGTTAGTGCCATGGAAAAAAATTTCCTTTTTTGATTTTAAATCGATTTTTTTTATCAATTTTTTGACTTTATCTCAAAATTTTGAGCTATTCTCTCAAAATTCTGACATCAAATTCAGATTTAACGGTAAAAAAAATCTATGTGGAAATATTGTAGTGTAGTTTTAAAAAAAAAATTTAATTTTTTTTTAATTCGGTTTTTTGAGTCGTTTTTTTAATTTGTCTCAAAATTTTAAGCAAATTTGTCAATTTTTACCTCGAATTCAGATTCAGCGTGAAAAAATACATGGAAATATACTAATGTCGTGCTATAAAAAAATATTTATTTTTTTTATTCTAATTCGGGTTTTGAGCAGTTTTTTGAGTATAACTCAAAAAAAAGAACCAATTTGACAATTTTGACTTCGTATTCGGAATCAGCGGGCAAAAATAAGTGAGAATATACAAGTGTAGTGTCAAAAAAATTTTTTTTTTTTACTTTTTTGGTGCTTATTTGTATATTTGAGTCGTTTCTTGAGTATAAATTAAAAAAAAGAAGCAATTTGACAATTTTTACTTCGGATTTGGATTCAGCGGGCAAAAATAAATAAGAATTTACAAGTGTAGTGTCACAAAAATTTTTTTGTCCTACCTGCACGGAAAGTATGTCATTTCGGGCACTTAAGGCGGGCGCAAAGTAACACATTATGCCCGGGAGTGGGAGAAGCGGGCGGAAAAGTATTTTGCGCCCGCTTGTATGACGTCAGCGGACGGTAAAGTATTTTCCGCCCGCTTCCCCTACCTCCGAGCGGGCGGAAAAGTATTTTGCGCCCGCTTGTTAATTATTTGATTTTCTTCATTAAAATGCGACATTTTCGACTTTCTTTTTATGTTGACTATAAAACTGCAAACATTTTCAACTTGTTTTATTTTGTCTATAAAAATTTGCAATTTTTTTTTTATTTTCTCTAAAAAAAATAATGAGATATTTGGTTTTGTTCCCATTTCGTTTATCAAAATTGTCAATTTTAAAAGTTCCTGTTTCAGTTTTGTTCAATTATTAACTACTACGTTCTAAATAAATACTATGTTTCCAGAATACATTGTTTTTTATTTCTATTTTAAAACTTCTATCATTATAGACTTCATTCGATATAATGTTTATATAGAGCTTAATTTTTAACTCATATGAGAGTTTAATCGTGCGTGCCCTCAATGCCATACTTTCCATGCAGTTAGGACAAAAAATTATGTTCGCATCATGGGCGCAAAGGTGATTACGACTTTGGCGAAATTTCGGGACCTCGGGGACACTTTCGCTCCATCGGCTTCGCCTCGGGCGCGAAATTATGTCCCCTCGGTCCCTTCATTTCGCCATCGTCGCAATCACCTACTTTGCGCCCTTGTTACGAAAATAACTATTTTGGTTCTAATTCGTATTTTTGAGTCGTTTTTTGAGTATAATTCAAAAAAATGAACCAATTTGAGAATTCTGACTTCGGATTCGTATTCAGCTAGCAAAAATACATAGGAATATACTAACGTAGTGTCATAACAATTTTTTTTTACTCTTTTGGTTCGAATTCGTATTTTTAGTCGTTTTTTGAGTATAACTCAAAAAAAAGAACCAGTTTGACAATTCTGACTTCGGATTCGAGAAAACAGCAAACATTTGAATTTATGATTTTTGATCCAAAATTTTCCGTGCGTATTAAAAGTTTCGTAAGGAAAATGGAATGGAGCAAAAGAAAATTAGTACAAAAAATTGTATCAAAAATAAGTTAAATATTGAAAAAAAAAGAATTAAATATAAGAATGGTATTAAAAGTAAAAAAAATACTGGAATTGAATTCAGGAAGCAGAAATGTTACAATTATATATTACCTTATGGAATTCAAAACCATGCAATCTGACGTAATGCGCATTCAGGGATGCACACGTCGGCAATGCCCTTGCATACTAAACGTTCGGCTCCTTCCTCATGGTACTTAGCATACATAAGCTTCGGATAATGCAACGAATTCCATCGCATGGTGTCATTAATCCAAAAACAATGGAAATCTCCAGATCACGAACAAACTCCCTCTCTCTCTCTCTTTCTCTCTTCTGATCTTATCTCATCTCATAAACATTAAGGGAGTATTTTAAAAGAAAATAAAATCCCCTTTTTCTCGAGTTCAACACTGTAAAATATAAAACAAAAAACAAGACAAAATTACGCCATATTAGTATAAGTATAGATGGAGTAATATGATATTTGAGAAATAAAAGAAGAAGAAGAAGAAATTCGTTCGATAAAAATAAGTGTCTGCTGTTTAGCCTTATAGATATGTAAAGAGGGAAACTTAAGGAGCATTCGTCGAGCTCATAAAGGCGTCAACACTGTTGAGTGCTACTGTTTGATATTTTATGAACGTTTTCCAGAAGATGATACTAAGGGAAAGGATTCCTTCATGCGAATCGCGCGAAATGACCCGTGAAAACTGCCTTTAGTTGAGTGAGCATACTTGATCGCCTCCAATGTTCTCTATTCTTTTTCCCCGCAAAGATTCTCTTCCCAAAAAACCCCTTAAAATTTGAGCCTTTGGATTTTCAAGAGATGTTTAGAAACCTTTCGAGTAACAGAAATAAAGTACTGTCTGTATTCCTAAATTTGATCCTAAATTCCGAAATTTAGGATTAATCCTTCGCCTACGCAGACTCAGGGCTCGGATCGTCTTCAAGTCTCAAAAAAAAGTCGCTTTAGTCGCATAAATTTACAACAAAAGTCACAAAAAGTCGCATAAAATTTCCAAAAAAAGTCGCATGAAATTTTAGAAGAAACGAAAAAAAGGAAACACGAAATTGTCAAAATTGTAAAAAAATGACATTTCTCAACAACAGATACATTAATATCAAACAATCAGATATAGAATTTAGAAAAATTAAATAAAATTCGTAGCAAAATTTTAATTAGTTATTTTTAACATTTTCTTTCAAAATTCTCAATGTCAAAATTCAAAAAATTCAAAATTCAAAATGTCAATTATTTTTATAAATAATTAAATTCTTCTCCGAAATTCAATTATTTAAAAAAAAATTTAATAAAATTCTTGTTAAAATTTCAATTATCTCTATAAATAATAAAATTCTTCTTTGAAATTCAATCATTTTCAAAAGTAATAAAATTCTTCGCAGAAATTCAATTATATTCAAAAACTTTTTTCAATTTTTCCTCAAAATTTTATAAATAATAAAATTCATCATAAAAATTTAATTGTTTTTAAAAGTTCTAAAAAAATTCTTTGGAAAATTCAATTATCTTCAAAAATAAGAAAATTCTTTACTACAGAAATTCAAGTATTTTCAAAATTTTTTTTTAAATTCTCCTTAAAATTTCAATTATATTATAAATATCAAAATTCTTCTGCAAAATTCAATTAATTTTAAACATTTAAAAAAAAAATTTGTTCAAAATTTCAATTATCTTTATAAATATCAAAATTCTTCTTCAAAATTCAATTATTTGCAAAGAATTTTAATAAAATTCTTGTCAAAATTTCAATTATCTTTATAAATAATAAAATTCATCCTAGAAATTTAATTATTTTCAAAAAAAAAATAAAATTCTTCGCAAAAATTCAATTATTTTCACAAATTGGAAATAAAATTCTTCTTATGAATTCAATTATTTTCAAATATTAATAAAAATATTTGCAATAATTCAATTATTTTCAAAAACGTTTAATAAAATTTTACGCAGAAATTCAATTATCTGCCAAATTAATAAAGTTATTCACAGGAATTCAATTATTTTTTTAAATTAATAAAATTCTTTACAAGAATTCAATTATTTTTTAAAAAAAACTTTTAAATTTTTGGCAGTAATTTTATTTTTATAAATTAATAAAATTCTTCAAAGGAATTTAATTATTTTCAAAAAATAATTGTACACTTCGCATGACATCAATTATTTTCGAAAATTCATCAAATTTATCGTAAGAATTCAATTATTTTCAATTATTACTAAAATTCTTCTCAAGAAATTCAATTATTTTGAAAAATTTTGATTAGATTAATGATAGGAACTGAATTATTTTCAATAAAAAATTTTAATTAAATTTCATTGAAAACATTTAATTACTTTCAATAATTTTTAATCAATGCTCTACAAGATTTCAATTATTTTTATAATTAACAAAATTTTCTTCTCGGAAGTTTAATTAAGAATAAGGATTAAGTTTAAGGAATTTTAATAAAATTCTTCGCAAAAATTTAATTGAATTTTTGACACAGGAAATAAATTTTTTTTTCAATTATTAATGAAAATCTTTGCAAGAATTCAATTATTTTCATAACTTTTAATAAAATTTTCCGCATAAATTCAATTATTTGCCAAAATTAATAAAATTCATCCTAGAAATTCAATTATTTTCAAAAGTAATAAAATTCTTCGCAGAAATTCAATTATTTTCAAAAAATTTTTTTTTAAATCCTTAAAATTTCAATTATCTTTGTAAATATCAACATTCTTCTACAAAGTTCAATTACTTACTTATGTTTTATAAATTTCTTCCCAATAGTTCTATTATTTGCATAAAAAATAATTAAAAAATTTTTTTTTTAAAAGTCTTATAATATTAATTAATGATTTTATCACTCGGTTATCTTTAATTATTAGAAAACAGGAAGACATCGATTGCTCCGAGTCGAAGACTCGGAGTGATCGATTTCTTCATGTTTAATAACAATTTTTTATAAGTTGTTAAATTTCAAAAAGTTTTGAATTTGAATCTTTTGAAGAATTTTAATTCCTATGGAAAATAATAATTAAATATTTATTTAAAAAAGAAGTTATTGATGTTTTCGAAAAATTTGAAAGAAATTTGTAAATAAATGTAACAAAAAAATTTTTTTTGACTCAAACTTTTTAATTTAAATTAAAAAAAAAATTTTTAATTTCATTCGCATTTTACTAAAACAAATCTCGAAAAAGTCGATTAGTCGCATTTCCTTAGAAAAGTCGAAAAAAGTCGAAAAAAAAATTAAACAAAAACGTATCAATGTTTTTTGTCTCAATTCAATATTCTTAGGAAAGTTGTGAGTGCTTTTGAATCCTAATTCCTAATTGTCCCCAATGTCGACCGATTTTTTTGTCGATAACAATCCCCTAAGTATGGGATTGAAAAAAAAGTCCTAATATACTCTTTGAAGTATTAAAAAAATAATTGTCCAATACAACAAATTTCGAAATATGCAATAACACACCTATCAGCGTTGTTCACTTCATGGAATAGTAATGCCACACTATCAAGTCTATTTCGAAGTGTCACGAGAAATAGCTCCTACATCATTCTCTCGCGAGATCCATTTCGAATTTCCAATTTCTCTGAAGCGTGAATATATGCGAATCTCGCATATATATATATATTGGTGAGCGCACTCAGTTTTATGAATATCGTTTCTAAAATCAAATGCGGAAATTTATAAGTGAAGTGAAAAAGAAAAATTTAGGATCGAAAGACATAATTATAGTATAATACGGAAGAAGAGCAAAATTTTTTAAGAATCACTTTATTTTCATATTTCATGATTTACTGAATATATGACTGCGATATATAGGAGGAAGGAGGATTTTTATATAATTTCTCTTGCATGCTAAACAAACATTTACATTCTAGCGTAAAGATTGTTACGCTTCAAGTTATGACTTAAGTTCAGGAGAGAAATTATCATTCGTTCTCTTCTTTTTTTAAATTTTTAAAGACGGGGACAATTATTTTCTTATATTTAATTAATCCTAATGAGCGTGATTTTCAATTTTGTCATCATTTTTTCAATTTTATTGGTTTATTTAGTTGAGTAATAATATCGATTTATTTATTACAAAACTATTATTTATTTGTTATAAAACTGTTTGTTTATTCATTATAAATAAATAAATAAATAATAAATTTATAAATTTATTTTTTTTTTGTGTTTTCAACTACAATTTTTTAAAAAATTCATTATTTTTAATAATTTTTGAAAAAGTTCTTTGAGAATTTTCAAATTCAATTTTAAAAAATTTCAATTATTCGTAAAATTGTCAATAAAATATATATGTTAGAAAATAAAAAACTTTAAATATTATAAAAAAAAATTTACAATTAAACTTTCTCAAGAAATAATTTTAACTGAAATTCATTTTCAAATCAATTTATATTAGAAAATTCGATACTAGAATTCAATTATTTAAATACAAAAATAAATAATTTATTGAATAATTAAAGGTTTCTTAAAATTCAATTCCTATAAAGAATTATATTAACAAATTTTTAAATAATTGAATTTTTTCGACGAATTTTAATAAAAAATTTAATAAAAAATTTCTTTTCGAGAAATTCGATTAAAAATTAAAATTGTATTAAAAATAATTGAAATTCCGCGATGAGTTATCTTATTTATAAAATAATTGAATCCCTAAGAAGAATTTTATTGTTTTTAAGCAATATTTAATTTTTTCGAAGAATATTATTACTTTTGAAAATAATTGAATTTTTGCAATAATTTGTAACTTTTCTAAAATTGAATTTCCTTTTTGTAACTTTAACTAAAATTTTTCTATCAATGCATTATTTTTAATAATTTTTGAAAAAGTTCTTTAAGAATTTTCAATTTTATTTGTTTACAATTTAATTTAACAAAATTTCAATTATCCATAAATTTTTCAATTAAATATATATATATTAAAAAATAAAAACTTGAAATAATATAAAAAAATTCGCAATTAAACTTTCTCAAAAATATTAATTCCTAAAAATTGTCAGTTAAAAATATAAAAAATTCAGATTTTCAAAGATTTTAATTTGAAACTTTTTCAAAATTTAATTAATTCTAAAAATTTACGCTCTAATTTTTTTATTATTCAATTATAATCTGAAATTTTAACTAAAATACATTTTTTAAACCAATTTTGATTAGAAAATTCAATTATTTAAATTGAAAAAAACAATTTATTGAATAATTGCATGTTTCTTAAAATTATATTCTCATGAAGAAT